GCATCGCTGCCACGTGTAAGTCGTCAGAGACATGCCCCTGCAAGGGACAGACAGCTGAACTTGGCCTCACTCGCAGGCAGGTGCTCACTCGCTCCTCTGACTTTCACTATCAAACACAGCTTCAAGGTGCCGCAGGCACTTACCGCACAAGTGACTCCTCCTGGCAAAGGCTGCAGAGATTCCTGCTCAGGCTCATTACTACATGAGAAGGAAGCTTGTGAGCTGCCAATTTCTAGCGAAACCTTTGCCCTCACTTGGCTGCTTTACCACCATGTGCCAGATGTTCAGGGAAGTGAGCCCTAGCAAGCGAGAGAGTTCCTTCTGATTCACTAATGACGGGCAAAATGCACGCTGGAATCAGCCTCAGTGCCAGGCTGTGATGCTGCTTTGCATAACTGGTACTTGTAAATGCCTCTGTTTCTTTCAGGAAGCATCTGTCCTCAGATGTGGAGAAACTTTAAGGTTTTGACTGTTATTTTAATCCTTCTCCAGCAGAATTGAGAAGAGCAGTATATGGCCAACATCCCCTTCCCCCCATTCCTCTGGTACTTTGGGTATTCAGGAAGAGAACTGACAGACCTAGGGTCAGGACAGCACAGTAGGGGGAAGCAGCAGGGTGGATCACCAATACACATGGGTAATGTCTCTTGGCAAAAAAAAAAAACAGTCCAGGAAAGAGCGTAACTGCTCTGAGTGGCTGTCCATGAGTAATCCACCTCTGGGGATGCTCCAGCAGCAGCCGTTTCATCAGTGGAGGGTTGGCTGGAAGGGTCAGCAGGCTCTTGCAGCAATGACTGCAAGCCAACACTACCAGACCAGCCACCGCAGATGCACCAACATCTCACATCTGTGACCCTTCTGCAACAATCACGGGTTCAAGCGCCTGCAGGCGCAATGCTCCCCTCTACTAACCATGTCGCCCTTCTCCAGCCCACGCTCCTTTCCCCCATTTACTTGCAACAAGTGCATTTATTTTCTTCTTCAGTTTACTCTAATGCGTGACAAATGACTGAAATCAGATTACCAGGGTTTAGTTGTCCTGATTCATCCACCTTCCCCCTTCTTATACACAGGTCTATACTCTCCAGTGATACGGTACTGCCCTAACTTGCTATCAGACTCACACCTGAGTGCCAGCTCACCCAGAACTTGGACTGGGACTACCTTTGTTTTGCTGTTAAAGCAGTATAAATATTTAGCCAAACCTGTCCTTTTTCTAGATTATTCTTTTCTCTCAAGTTTTTACTTGCTTCTAGATACTTCTGGTTTAGTGTGAAATAAAAGGAGCCGAGCTTGTACTGTTTCTTTGGTTCATATTCCAATGCTCCTCTTTCTGCACATAGTATCCCCCTGGGCACAGAGGCATCATGCACATCTCTGGAAGGCTGTCACACCAGACTATATTTATCCCATCAAATCCTCTGCCTCACCATTCTGCTGCTACTTCTGCATGACACTGATTCTTTTTCCTTACAACATCTCCTGAAAATCCTCCTCCCTACAAAGGACTTATCCCTTCCTCAGTATGCAAGTGCTGCCAAAAGACTAACATAACACTGAGCAAATCCCTCTCAGCTGCACGGAGAATAAGCTTATCTGACCACTGACCCCAGCAATAAATAGCCATTCGCCTTTCGTTTACTTCTTCTCTGATAAACCCCTTCTGATTTCACTTAGTCAAGAGAGGCACCCAGTCACTGGCCCAGAATCTCTGGTGAAGCACGTCCAAGCAGCTCCAGGTCTGTCGCCTGAAGGAATTTGGAAAGTCTCATACCCTACCTGGGACACTACCATGGACACATGCAGTTACCATCAACAGTCAGGGGCAAAGGAAACATCAGAGGGCAGAGTTCGGCCCATTTTTTTGAGGAATGTGTCCACTTCCACAGCAGCCGTGTTCTTTAGCAGCATACTTCCATTTCCCATATCTCCATCCCTAAGCCAGGCTCCTGATGGGAGCCACTGGCTTGCAGGGGGGATGGTATTGCAGAGGGACAGGCCTAATCTCAGATAAGGAATAAGCAAGAGTGGCACACAGAGCTCCCAGTGCTCTGCAAGTACCTCTAGAGGAATCCAGGAAAGGAAGAAACTTCTTTTACTCTGGAAAATCAGCTGAAAGAGAAACAGAAACTCTCCACAGAGAGCACTGGTCAGGCATTTGTCATTTTGAACTTACCACACATTGATAAAAATACTAACACTCACTACCAGAACAAACAGACGCCTACGCCTTATTCCCATAGCACCGTTAGTTCTCCATCGGGTCACCACTTCAGGGAAGAGACAGCACTTTTTGCATCAGTCTCCACCAGAAAAAGCAGCTGTGCTAGCCACCTGCTTGGAGCTAAAGCCAGTGACAGCAAGATCTCAGCCTCAAATAGAGAGATCAGACTAGAGAGGACAAGACATATGTTTTCCAGTCACCTGGACCACATCCTAAAGTATTCATATGAACTGGCTCAGCAGCCTCAAACCCAGCAACGATTCCCCCCTTGGGAACTTGTGTACAACAGGTAGGGCGTGAAAGGACTGAAACATGGACAAAAGTAGGGCCTAGACTTCAAAAGGGAAAAAAAGGGAAGAGATATGATTTATGATTTCTGTTCTCAGAATATCAAGATTCATTATTTGTAAGCACCTGAAAAAAATAACAAAGACGAGTAGCAACCCAGGTGGATTTGTCAAGAGCCAATCATTACTGGAAAAAAATTATTTCTTTATACAGGGAAAAGAATTATCATAGGGGAGAAGCAAGACATGAACGGGAATTCAGTAAGGCTTCTGACTTTTACAAACATGCCAAAAAACGTTATTAATGATATTACTGTGATACAACTTCAGGAGTGGCCAAAACTTTCCAGGAGGAGTTCCCAGTGGGCTCACTGTAGAAATGGAAGGATGTTATTACTTTGGGGTCTGCCTAGGAACCAACTTTGTTTAGTGTTTTCATTATCAACTTGAATGATGGAGTAAAAAGTCTGTTTATTAAATTGCAGAGGACACGAATCTGGAAAGAATGGCAGGTATGCTGCAATGCTCTGCCAAGGGAACTTGGCAAGTTGGAAAAGTGCTTTGGAAGGAAGAATTGGTAGGGACAAGCGCGTGGCGCTGCTCTTTGGCAGAAGAGCCAATGGCACAAGCACAGGGTGCGGAGCTGGGGTGGTAGCTGCTCCTCAGTTCTCCCTGAGACCTGGAGTCTCAGGGAACTAGAACAAGGAACTGGACCTACAGTCCCGTGACGCTGTGGAACACGCAGACAAAGCAGCGCATGTATAAAGAACGAGAACGGGGAGGCTGGTGAAGCAGCTGCTTGCTCCTCTGTTTGCTGTGCTTTACATTTTTGGGCACTGCTTTTTAAGAAAATGATGAATCAACTGCAGGCATTCAAAAGAGCAACAGGAATTAAGAGCTGTGGAAAACATCACCTACAAGAACTGAAAATAAATGGAGTGTTTATTCCAAAGAAATGAAGGATAAGGTGCCAACAACAACAGCACTGAAGTATCATGCAATGCAAAAACCTCAAGTTCTTTCTGCTCTCTGCCACTGAAGCACTCAGTGAAGATTATTGCAGTCACTCTCCCTGGGCTTCTAACAAGTCCTAACAAACTATTTGCTGCACCTTTCCAGGAGCAGGGGACACCACACATCAGAATCTAGTGATGACGGTGTGACTACAAGCATCAAGTGGAAATTCAATTTGTTCTGAAGCAAACCAATCCATCCTTTGAATTTCAAGGTAAACTCTAGCAGCCCTACAACTGTGTCCAGTTTGCAGGGCAATGACACTGCCAGGGCTTTCCCTTGCCCAGAACAGAGAACAGGAGCGTGACATGAACCAAACAAAATGGCTTTGAACTCAGTTATTCATGTTACGAAAGGCCATTTGGGCTTGCCCAGAGGCTAGCAGGTAACTTCATCCGTCTGGTACCAGGAAAATAATTGCAAGTTGATACAAGCATGAGACAAGAGCAAGGCATGAGCCCTTCAGGCCATCTGTGTAACAACTGTGTACAATCATATTCCCAGACCATTTCATTCTGTATATGATGAGCTGCCAACCTTCTCTCTTCGTCTCCAAACACACAATGTAAAATCTCATCCTCTGATCATTAATCCATTTGTTATTTGTTGAAAAATCATTAAAGAACATTTGAAATCAGAGATATAAGATTTGTTACATAAGAACTATACCCAAATAGAGGCCACTTATTCTGGACTTCATGACAACAGATAAACATGAGTGATCCCCTGGTTGAGAAGTCAGTGATCACAAACTGATTCCACTTAGGATGGGTGAATTACAGAGAACAACCCTGACTAGTCACAGGTCCATGTTACTTCAGAAAGGCACTAACGCAACTGATTGGGACAAAATATTTACATGGGGAAAGCGGTGGATTCACCATTTCAGTGGCTTTAAATTAGACTGGATTCTGTTCATCCAGGTGATACTTGAGCCAAAAACTAACCATGAATCTCAGTACAGCAATAACAGAGCAAAATATAACGGCTTGTGCTATTCAGGAGATCATTTAAGTCTGGATTGTAGCCTTTTCTACAAGTTGTGCTGCCCCTGTCTCCTCCTCCCCTCCTGCGCCATCATATCCTTATCCCCAAACTCCCATTTCCTCCCCTTGCCATTGCCCTTTTCCTTCCACTGCTCTCATATCCTAAGAGTCCATAAAATCCATGCAGAAGTTGGTCCTTTTATATACTCTTCAGAATAAATAAAAATTAAATTAATTGTTTATAGCACACACTAACATAATCTTAAATATAAAGCCTCATCTGGATGCAAGGCCAGGTTACGGATGTCTTTGCAAAGCGTATTTAATTAAAACTGAGGTCTATGGAGGTAAAAAAGCCTTCACTTAAATGCAGCAGGACACACAAAGGAACTCCTCAGACCAGAACGTGGCAAATATGACTGTGATACCATGTCTGCCCAATGTTTCTAATTAGGCGACCTTCACAGTGCCAGCTGACAGTGTTCTTACCACTTTCTCTTTGTAAACAATGTATTTCAGCCACTTGAAATCCTGCCATTTGAATCCCGCCAGAACAAACAGGGAATCCTTCTCATACTGCTCCATTTTCTGGATTGCACCTTCGGGATATGTGATCCGGAGAGTTGTCTTGCCACCCACGTCTTTTTCGAAGCCCTTCACAGGAGCAGAGTTCAGCCTGCGGGGCAGAAAAGACACTATCATGGGTTCCCACTTGCAACCAGGCGCGTGGGTGATGTCGCAGTCACTGCCGGGCAACAGCTCCCTGTACACAGCTCTTACAGCAGCAAACAACTCCCGCCGTCATCACAAACATTTATGAAGCTTTATACCAAGTGACAACAGTTTAATTAGAAGCTATTTAAATAATTTAATTGAATGTAATGCACACCACTTCTGCACATCCACTCCTGTGATTTAAATTAGGTTGGAAGCTTTGGAAAAGGAAACTGAGAAATATTGTCCTTGCAAATTCAGAGTTACTCACTAAGCATTAATATTTTAACATCCCATCACTCCTGGGACATCTTATTTGGATTCTGCAAGACTCTGCTGAAACAGAGGATGCAGCTCCACAGCTCAGACACAGAAACTGGTCTCAAGCTCCAACCCTAGTCCAGAGCTTACACTGCTCATCTTACCTGCAGTGAGACTGTTTAGGAACTAAGCCAGCTAATAATTTTCAAAAACCCCATTTCCACCTGGTTTAATTCCCCAAACTGGCCCATCTAGGAGGCGAGCTGCCCTGCAGTGCCAGCTCAAAGGAAGAGCTTAGGCTGTGCAGCTGGGGTAAGGCTCAGCAGCACTGCGGTCTCACTGATTCGGAGGAGTTTCTGCTGTGGGAGGGCATCCCACTCTGAAAACACCCAAGCAGAGACACTGCTTTGCTCTTGGGCACCCTGATTTCTAAGGGAATACTATGGCTTAAGCTGTGGTTTTGTTAAAATACCCCTCAGGGACAAGGTCTTTTCCTTTCAAAAAACAAACTACTCTGGAGTTAACAGCAATTGTGACATTAAAATTATTCAGAACTTCTATTCAAACTAGAAACCCAAAGCTGAGGCAATTTCAAGTAACTTGGAATGCAAATCTTGCTGACATCAAACAGCAGGCTCTGATGGAACAGCATTGCCTGCTTGAATTATTGCAGCCTTCTTGACTTGGGGTAGTTCAATATACTGGAAAGTGCTTATGGACTGCAAATTTTGCTGTGCAGGAATGTTAATGAGGATCTGGATTTGTCTTTTTCAGCCCGGGTAAGCATTTTAGGTGGGAAACCTTTTAGTAGAAGAAAATCCCATATACAATCTGAAATTCTATTCAGAATTAAGGAGAATAAATTCCTGTGTATTTTTAGTAAAAGCATTTTGTCATTAGGAAAAAAATATTAAAGGGAAAACAAGAATCAGCACCACTGCAATTTATACAGGAGACTAAGCCTTTTTTTGTGGTTTATAAACCCTGACTTTGAGGTATCTAGACCTGAGTGCCTGCACAAACAATGCTCCCAGCCAGCCCGATCCTTTGCTTTTCCCTCTGTGTGTTCACACATCACTCATTTTTGCTGTGGGCGTTATTTAAACTTCAAGGCGTTGTGTCTCTTTGGGGTAGATAACTGTACATCACGTAAAAGCATGTGGCTCTAAAGGTAACAGATACATACAACAAAGTACTATGTAAAGAAAGCTAGTTACACATATTTTCATCTGTCTTCTTGAAGCTGAGGGGAAGGTTAGCATCTGCAGTTTTTTCAAATGCCAGCGTGTAGCTCCTTGGCAGAGTTTTCCCTGCTTTTCCCAGCTGCTGGGTGAGCTGTTTTGCTGTTTACCTTGTTAAAGCTCCCAAAACTTGGGAGCCCTACTTCACATCTAGACAGGAAACAAAACAAACCATTTCCCCAAGTAAAATGAACTCGGGTCTCCAGCAAAGGGGCAGGGTGTGAGCTGCTGACAGAGTCGCAGTGATGCACTCCGACTAAGGAGCCAACGCTCAGCCCCTCGGGCAGTGCCCCAGGGGCAGCGCAGGCAGCGGAGCAGGAAAACTTCTGGCAGCCACAACCTGTGTTCAGGAAGGTGCATTCTAGACAGCTTGAATCCTTCCTCAGGCAGGACACGCTGGTGGTTATAAGCACAGCTACAGCTTAGAAAACCTCAGTGAGGATGCCAGGCCTCCTCGTACAGCCCACGGATGGGCAGTTTTCTCTGTAAGAAGTTTCAGGGTGTTTTTCTGTGTCCACTGACAACAAAGGGAGCTTAGATACACTAACTCCTACCCTTGGCAGCATGAAGACCCTCTCAAATATCACTAAATACCATCATCAGGTGAATCCCTATCTCAATCTAACCAGGAATTTCTGACACACACTTGTTTTTCCTGTCTGCGATCTATTCTAAGGAGGCATTTCAGAGCACTGATGACTGACTGCTGCAAGAAGCTCCTGCCAGGTACACTGTGTGACAGCTGGGTAGAACATCTGCACTGAAATCTGATAATATCCAGTTTAAAAAGATCCAGTAAGTAACTCACTACAAGCTGATTTAGAACTGTCAAAACTGATCTGACTCCCTCCACCACAAGATCAAAATGTCTTGCTGCAATTAGTGATCCTCACATGGTAACACGATGCATCAAAAAACTCCACATACTGCTGGCTCGCTCCTTTGTTCACAAACGTACCACATTTTTTCCCCTTAAAATTCACCTCCTAGGTCCCAAATCTGAGCCTTCAAAGGAGTTTTGCAATAGATGAAAAAGGATGCTACACACAAGGGACTTCCCCAGCTCCCACAGGAGTAAAGGAAGGAGTTGGATACATTTAAGAAGTCTGCTCTCACCTCCTCAGTCCCACATCTAGGCACCTGGCTTCATTTAACCTTTACAGTTGACTTTTCTCTCCTTTATCCATTCCACAAACAGCACAGGTGCTTAACTGCCCTCTTATCCTCTAAGCTTGCAAACTGACTTAGATTTACTGATGGGGAGAGAAAAGGTCGAACTTTTCATCTGGAAATTAAATAGTGGACTTTCCGATGTAAATCTCAGTGGGTGGCTTAGTCCAGATGGACTGAAACTGTTCTCTTGCTACTTTTTTGAACAGTCTGAGCCCGAGAAGAGCCTATAACTGAATTTTAATTCAGCTCAAATACCTGCAAGTCACCAGACTACGATGAGCAGTAAGAGTTCTTTGCAGGCAACTGATAGTGGGATGAACTAGAAGGGCTGTAAAAGTTTCACCCTGTTCTGAACAGTCATCCCTGTGTCCAGAGCACTGTTGGGGAAGCAAGGTACCGTTCACAGAACAAAGGACTGAAAGGGATCTCCTTGGTCTTTTCATCCTCATGTGCCAGTTACTAGCGCGTGGGGCAGAAAGGAGACCATGCTAAATGATACCTTCTCTGTGCCTTAAATTCTTTTACTAATCCTTTTCTTTCTTCCCCCTTAGCTAAGAATTTGCTATTTGCCACCATGTCTCATGGTTGACTAAAGTTAAGAGAGATGATTTTAGATACATTTCCTTTAATATGAAAACGGTTTTCTTACCAAGGAAAAAAATACCAGCTTAGACTATGTTGAACCAGTTTTTATAAACTTACACCGCAGTTTATCCCACTTTTCCTATTTACCATTGTAATATTTTGTTACTCATTGATTCAGAACATGCTATAAAGCCCTGCATTTTTTTCAAGTCAGACTAATGGGTCTGTAGCTCCCTAGAGCACATCCCCCTTCCTTCCTACACGCACACTCCTTCTCACTCTCCATTAGTACAGGTATTATGTTTGTTAATCTCCAGTCACCCAGAACACCTCCCAGACTTGACAGATTTATTTCTAAGAGTTGTGACTAGACCTGTGATTTCACATATCAGCACGTTTTTCAAGCATTCTGGGATGGCGATGATCCAGGTCCTCAGCGAAAGCAAGACGTCCTAACTTTGACCGTGGTGGTTTCCATTCCTACGCCACTCTGCTTCTGCTCCCTTATTCAGCATCATCACCCACAGTGAAACAGAGGCAAAGTATTCAAGGATTCTAGGGTGGAACTACAGGTGTTTGATCATTACTGGGTCCTCACGCAGGGAGGCTCACTGATTCCTAAGGCCCTGTACTGCACCATTCTTGGTTCTTCCCATCCTAACTATGAATTGTAGGTTCCAGGGACATGTGTGACCACCCATACTTCCCTGAGCTACCTTGGGGATATATCTGGGAGCAGATCTAACAGTATGTTTTACTATTTCACCATCTAATGCCACCACAAAAGCAGCAGCTTTTAGAAAGGAGCTATAAAAAGATGGTTCAAGCAGGATCATAGGAGAGACCACATTTCCAAACTGCTGTGGAAAACAGAATGCTTGAGGTTGCCTTTACCCGTTGATGTCATCACCATTAATACGCTCTTGGTTTTTTATTCCTCTCCGTACTAGTTAATGCTTCCACACAAATGGATACTGTCAC